TGAGTATATTGATTCTCATGATCGATTTTTAGAGACTGAGCTTCCACCTATTTATGAATTCCATGGGTGCCTTAATGGTAAAATCTCTCAAAAAGACTATAATCATGCACAGAAAGTCTGGAAAGAGTTTGGCTGCAGAAACTTAGGTAAGTACCATGACCTTTATCTTAAAACAGATGTACTCAATCTTGCAGATGTTTGGGCGCAATTTTGAAAGATATGTATGGAGTATTATAAGCTTGATTCTAGCCACTATGTTTCAGTACCGGCATTGGCTTGGGACGCCATGCTCAAAATGATAGGAGTAAAAATAGGACTATTTACTGATATGGCAAAGCATGACTTTATCGAAAAGGCTAAGCATGGTGGCATAGTTATGGCTTGCCAAAGATATTTAACAGCCAATAATCCCAAGATGGGAGATGCATATGATTCAACCAAACCAACAAGCTGGATTTCATATGTTGATGCAACAAATCTCTATGGTTGGGCAATGAGTCAGTACTTACCTATTGGGGGGTATGAATGGGTAGCAAGCCAAGAATATTTACTTAATAACCCTAATAAACAAAAGAAATATCTTGAAAATATTCTCAAAACTAAAGCAGACGCCAAGCAGGGTTATTACTTAAATATTAAGGCACATTTTCCTATAAAGACTCATGACTATTTGAGTGATTTGCCACCAGCTGTAGAAACTATTGCGGTAAAAAGGAATTGGTTATGTCCTTATACTACTAAGCTTGTAGATATCTTGGATAGCGGACACTTTTTAGAAATAGAAAAATTAGTTCCACACCTTGGACCGTGAAAAGATTATATTATTCACTACCAGGAGCTACAATATTATATAAAATTAGGTATGGTTGTTGACGAAGTTACAGAAATCTTATCATTTAACCAAACTAACTGGCTTGAACCTTATATTTCATTTAATATGGAGAAACGAAATGAAGCTAAAAAAGATGGCAATACATTTCTAAGTGATTTCTTTAAACTTATGAACAATTCAGTCTATGGTAAGACTATGGAGAATGTTCGTAAATACCAGGATGTTAAGCTCATGGCCATGAATAATGAGCAAGATGAGAAGAAGTTTATTAAACAAGTTCGCAAGCCCTCTTTTAAGTATGCTCGACTACTTGGAAATACTTTAGTAGGAGCGCATATGGGAAAAGCTAGCGTAACTCTCAACAAGCCTATCATAGTTGGCGCATCTGTTTTGAGACTTAGCAAGCTTCTTATGTATTGCTTCTGGTATGGGTATGTAAAAGAAAAATATGGAGATAAAGCTCATCTTGGTTATATGGACACAGATTCATTTATATACCATGTTGAAACTGAGAATATATATAAGGATATAAATGAGCGCCCCAATCTTTTTAACCTTAATAGAGATCCAACTATTGGAAAATTCAAGGATGAAACTCCTAATAATGTTATTACAGAGTCTATTCATATCCGGGCGAAATCATATCACTATGTCTTGGCAGATAAGTCTATACAGTCTAAGCACAAGGGAGTTAGTAAGAAGGGCATGAGTGAAATGGCTGAGAAAGAATATCCAGAAAGTAAATCTCCAATAACTCAAGTATATTGGGACTGTCTATTTGGAAAAAAAGTATTCTATGCTAAGAATGTAGGCATCCGATCAAAAGACCATATCTTATCTTTGGTTGAATCAGAGAAAAAGGCGCTTTGTCCCATAGATACTAAGCGTTGGATATTATCTGATGGAGTTTCATCTCTGCCTTATGGTCATTAGCACATCAAAGTATATAAGAATTTGGTCAGAAATGGTGTTCTTCATGCAGAAGCTGAACAAAGAGCCATGAGATGCAGACTCATAGAAAGATAGATAGATAAATTACAATGCCTACATAGTTAAAATATTATTTTTCAAATAAAAAAAATATTACTATCTTTTCATGATTGCAAGAAGACAGGATCGGTATCTGTTATCTCTGGCATTGTATTAGAATCTTCTTGCTCATCTGTTATCTCTGTATCAGAATCAAAGAAAGATGGGCGTGGTATAGAATGCGCCAACTTAAATTCTAATTGACTTATTTTAGATTTAAGAGAAAGAATTGTGATCTTATTAGAGAATAAAGCTTCTTGCGCCAAGGTTCGTTCAGAAGTAATTCGGGATCTAAGCTTAGTATTTACATCATTTAGCTGGTTAATCTTATTTTCAATATAAGCATAGGTATGATTAAAACTCCTCTCTTTCTCTAAATATTTATCTTGCAGGGCTTTATATTCATTAGCAAGATCAGAAGCAGTTTTGATGCAACTATGCAATGCTTTCTCAAGCACTGATTCACGAACACTACTTTTTTCTTACAAGCTCGAAAAAAGATTTTTATTTAATTTATTGTTGGTTAGCTCAACTGAACACTGTTGGTCTGGCTTCGAGTGATTTATCACGAGAAGGCAAGGCCAATGACCTGAGAGTGTGTGTTTATCTAGCAAACCCCCAACTGCTCTCACATCTTCACTATCTCTTAAGGTATGCACATTAGACATAATTTTTTTGGTTTAGTATTTATCAGAAATCATCAAAGATATTCAATAATATTCAATAATATTCGATAATATTTAATAATTATTGATTAATTATTTTTGATAATTTTCAATAATTTTCAATAATGGATTATTTATCTAAAGAGTATTACCGTGCAGGTGCCACCTATTTATCACCTGAAGTTCTTGAGGAAATTCGTAATTCACGTGAAAAAATTAAAAATGCTGTAACAACAATGACAAAAAAACATCACATTTCAAGCCGGCGAGTTTATGAGATTTGGCGTAGATGTGCAATGAAGCAACCTGATCGTATCCAACAGGATGAGCCAAAGAACCAAAGCTCAAGTAGTTCTACTATTACTTCTTTGAGTCAAGGCAATATATCACAAGACACTCTAACAGATATCAACAATATTTCTGATAGCAAGAAAAAAAAGACTAGAGAAAAGAACCATATTGAATCCTTCTCTGAAGATGTTTTGGATTTCTATAAGAGAGCTAATAATGATATAGAAAAAGTTAGAGCATCCGGTCGTGCTCTTATTTCTAAGTGTTAGTCTTAGTTAGACTTTTATATTGGTCAAGCAAATTATTATAGTATTCTATAATTTTCAAATTCGATTGAATACTAGAAAATAATGCTTCTTCAAGCTCTTTTATACGAATTAACATATCTTCACAGTTTATACTTTTTTTTTTATTGGTATTGGGTAATCCCATCCACTATTATAAACTGAAAGTGGAATAGTAATAGTTTTTCCATTAACTGATGTGGTAGACTCACCCTTTACTATAGGCTTTCAGCCTGCCCAATGCTGCCATTTAGTATCAAGAATAAATAATGATATATCCTTACCATTGCTATATTTTTCTGTTGGTAAAACTGAGAACTCATCTGAAATTGTTAAAGTATTATTTCCAATACCTATAGTAACAGGTATATCAGAAAAGGTCCCAATTGATTGTTTTTCTCCTACAGCGCCTGTTAGTCTATAAACCTTTTTCCTGTCTATTTTCAAACCAAAATATTTTATAAAATAGTTTGCGATATTTTCAGAAATATGTGACCCATCTGAACCTGTATCAAGTAAGGCATGAGGTATCTCTAAATCATGTACTTTACATGAAATAGTAGCGTAATTGTTGGGTTCTTTTATTTGTAAAAAGTTTATTTTTAATGGATCAAGCCAATTTCGATAAAATTGCACTTCTTGGTATTGTTTTATAGTGTAATTTAATGCAGAAGAGAGAGACCCCTCAACCTTCTCGAGCTTGTGAGAAGAACCAGAGCATGCTTGGAATAATGGTTCTAAAATAACTTGATATTTTTTTATTATATTTTCTCAGACCTTGTCTACTTCTTTTTTCGTATAGATTTGTAAATGATATGAATAATATGAGTCTTTCATTTTGGGAAACAATTTACTAAGATCTGTATATATTTCTGTTAGAACTTCTTTAGGGCATTGGAGAATATATCTTGCTATTAT